ACACAAGTCATGACTTGAGCTCAGTTTCTGTCAATAGCAGCTGCCCTCCCCCGGCCACACACACAGCACAGAGTCAGTGGGTATGTAAGAGGCAGAGGAAACAAGGGGCCCATGAATCTGCCCCAGTCTTTTCTGTAGCAACCACATTGGCTTTAGCTGAGTAACAAATTGTCCTGGAATTCTTGGCCTTAGAACAAACATGTTGGCTCCCTGGTTACACCTTCGTCACTACTCAAAGTACCTTCCTGCTCTTTCCATAGGCCTGGGTTTGTCCTGTCTCCAGGAAACTTTATATGTTGTCTAAAATGAGCATCCCAGCAGGCTGCAAGGCAGATGGCAGCTCAGGCTTCAGAATGTCCACACCAGCTCCTAGCAGGATCCACGCCACCAGACTGACACTCAGCCTCGGCAGAAACAGGAGCCTAGCCACGTGGCTCAAGGCTTTTTTAACTGCCCTGTCAGCACTGAGGAACTTCCCCAGAGACTTCTACGAAACTGAGAAGAGTGATGTTTGGTGTGGGGCAGAAGGAAGCAAGAAATTTAGGGCCGATTGTCAAAACTCTCTCTCCTTTTGAGACTTTGGGTGACTGTCCAGGCAGCCAGCTGCTTCTGTCATTTCTTGCATCTTTTGGAAGTCACTTGCTTGCACTTCCTGCTTACTCATGTAGTATTTTCCTTCTCAGGTCTTTGATGAGGTTGAAGACTAGACAGTCACACTATCCTCTCATCTTAGCTAAGGCATATTAGGTACAAGACTTACTCTCCAGGGATAGGACAGCTATCAGAATAATCTGTTATTTGTCAGTTACCCATAGCCTGGACATTTAATGTGTGCTTCCTGCTTGATGTTGCTTTTGTTGGTTGTAGTTCCATTTTGTGTATGTCATTACCCTTTCTTTCTCCTGGACAATACTTGATAGTTGCTCTTACTGTATACAGTTCTGTATTAGGTTTAGAACCTTCTTATTTAGACAAAAAGGGGAGGCGTTGTGGGAATTCATTCGGCCAATAGCTTTGGGGTACCTGCCTTGGGGCATGGCTTCTTGGAGAGAGAGGGAGAGGGAGGGAGAGGGAGTCAAATGCTCTCAGGTGGTGTGAAGCGGCATGTGGTCTCAGCTCCATGAGTCTGTTTTCCCCATAGCATCCCTTAATAAATTGATATATATCTTGTTGGTTCTCACAGATGCTGGAGACAGCCCAGAGGTAAGCACCTGTAATCCTAGCACTTGGGAAGCTAAGAAAGTATCATAGTTCAAGGCCAGCCTGAGTTACACAGTGAGGTCAAAACCAGCTCTGCCAATAGGGAGCTCTGCATAAGTAAATAAATTTCTCTAGCAGGAGGATGAGGTTCAAGCGGGCCCTTCAGCTAATAAGCAAGCAAGCCCCAGGGGCTCAACAAAGCCAAGCCAAAGCCAGTGTTGCTGATATGTCCCTGGGCTTCGGGACACCCACTTGTCACCAGATTCCCAAGGCTTCACACTCAGGAAGCCAGGACACGCTCAGGGTAGCCCATGCGCTGTATTCAAAGCCACAACACCCTGAAAAGAGCCAGGAGCAGAGTGATGCAATTTGTGAATAAAAATAAAGGCAGGCTGGGCAATGGTGCCACACGTCTTTAATCCCAGCATTGGCAGAGGCAAGTGGAGCTCTCTGAGTTCAAGGCTAGCCTGGGCTACAGAGTGAGTTCCAGGACTACCAGAGGTATTATATAGAGAAACCCTATCTCAAAAAACCTAGACAGACAGACAGACAGACAGACAGACAGACAGACAGACAGAGGCAGAGGTGGGAACTTGTGTGCAGAGGCTTCCTGGGGAATGTAAGAAACTATTGACACCATCTCTGGAGAGGACAACTGAGCAGGTGGGACAAAAGCTTCGCCTTCTACCTTCGCAGCTTTGAACCTCATGCATGTCATGCATAAACTTTCTAAGAACAAATTTTAAAAAGTGAATGAAGTATGCTGTAACTTTTTTTCTGCCATGTGCCTCCAAAAGTATACAGCTCAGTGGCAGAGCACTTGCCTAATATGTACAAGAGACTAAGTTCCATTTCTAGATCTCCCTGCTAAGTTTACGTGGGCAATGCTTGATGAACATTTCAAGGAAGCACAGTATGGATGGGTCACTCTTCAGAATAAGAGATGAAGAAAGGACACCTGCATGCTCTACGTAGCACCTATCATTTTGTTGGCAAGGAGCAGTACTACCCTTGCGTTTACAACAGCAGCTTCGCTTCACCAAGTGCCGTGTACTCCCACGGCACCGGGCTGCAAGCCCGAGTCACAGCCCATATGTACAACTGTTTGTATTCCGGGCTCCTCTCTGAAATGCTCTGTCGATCAATACTCACTATAATCTGTCTACCACTCAGCTCCACTTTCCAGGGACAGAAACTCCATGGAAAAGAACCTGGAAAGGCTGAAGGAAGAGTGACGGTGGCCTTACCTGACTTAGTACAGACGCATGCAATGGGAAACCACATGGAATAAAAACAACCTTGAGATGCACTCCCCAAACTGAGAATTTCAGCCATCTGCATGTCAGAAGCTGGCAATTCGGAAAAATTGCCCAGCAAAATGGTAGCCAGATTTCTTAGTAAAATCCAGTAAATTCTTTTAAGTTTCTATTATTAGACTTAAGTTTAAATGGGAACTAATGAAAGAGAAAAGGCATCAAGATCAAAATAAAAGTCAGAAGCTGGGATTGTGGCTCAGCTGTTCAGAGCCGGTAGACTGAGGTATTTGTCACCAATACCCACCTGGAACTCCAGTTCCCACCGGCTCTGGCCTACACACCTCATTCATATATACACAACTAAAGTTACATTAACCTTTCATGAAACTTGAAATTCAATGGAAGTAGTTACATGTATAAAATGAGCAAATGTATACATTCTTTTATTTATTTGGTTTCTTGAAGCAGGGTCTCACCTTGGCTGACCTAGAACTCAGTATTAGACCTGGCTGGCCTTCAACTCAGAGACCCACCTGCCTCTGCTCAAGCTCAAACATGTAAAGTTTTATCTCAGGGCATGTTCTTTTTCTTTGTTCAGAAGTTTCAAAATTCCTCTGAGTGTGGAAGATGAAGGAAACATGGTCAGGAGCCTCTCTGCCTTCCTCGGAATGCCTAGGTGAAGGCCCAGTGCTCACTCTAATTCTGTCCCATTCACCCTTGTACCAAGTCATGTCCCCATGGCCAACCAGGTCACCCCCAACAACAACACAGTGAGTGCCCTTTCATGACAACACAGCACCAATGACACAGCAGAGAAGTACTACGGAGGACAGGCCTGGAGAAGGGACCCAGACAGTGGAGTGAAAACAAGTAACCAGAAAAGAATGAAAAACTGTAAGAATTGACAACAAACCCAAGGACTGGTGTAAAACTGGATTCCTTGCATGCAGAAGCCGAGAATACGCCTTGCTTTGTTTTGCTTAGTCTCCACATCCAATCTGTTAGCAAAAATGTATCCAGAGGGTCTGGAGCTCTGGGTAGGAGGACACACTGTTCTGGTGAAGGTCCCAGGCCAACAAGGCTCAACTGTGTGCAACTCCAGGTCTGGGGGGTCTTTTGGTCTCTCCAAGGGCCACACCCTAAAACATTTAAATAAAAGCACTCACAATCCAACTGTGCTTACCATCTCCACTGCAAGCAACAGTTGGTCCCTTCCTGGAACCCCCTCACTAACAGCTTCATCAAAATGTCACAGGCTCCCCTGTATCACAGACAGAAAGCACAGGCACCTGCCCATTGTCCATCTCCCTGATTAAAGTACAAACAAGGGTTTTCTGTTGCTTTTGATCGTCTCTGGATTGCAGACACTGGAACAGTGCCAAGCTGTGTGTGTGCAGCACCATGTCCCTGCAAAATAAACTGGTGACAGACAATGATGCTGTATGCCAAGATCTCTAGATGGTGAATAAAGGAAGCACACTGTGTACTGCTTTGTGGGCCTTCAGAAGGACCAAGAGCGCACATCATGCTGTAAGAAACACTGTCTGGTTGTCACCTCTGGCTAAATTTACAAAGATTTGTATAAAATAAATTTAAAAGGTGGTCACTGCGTGAACAACAACAAAAGAATATAAAAATAGGCTGAATGTCACATATAATGCTGAGAACTGCCCTGGCCACAATACGAATGCCTCTTGCAGAGGACCTGGGATTAGCTCCCAGGCCCCAAATGGTGGTGGTTCACAATCAACTGTAACTCCAGTCCCAGGGCATCTGGACTCTTCAAACGTCCACCGGCACAAGTATACAAGAATTCCACATACATACATACATACATACATACATACATACATGTAAAACAGCCATATAAAATAAAACCAACAGGTCTCAGGAAGAAAAAAGGGACTATGGAAACTTTGGAAGTTGAAGTACATGTATTTGTACTAAGCAAGAGCCAGAGCCTCCAAGGCCACAGGTAGAGTACTGTGATTTGTATGTAAAACACTCCCATAGGTTGGTGTGTTTCTTGGTCCCAAGCCTGGCACTGCTTTGGAAGGCTGTAGAACCTTTGGCTATGAGATCCAGATGGGCAATGTAAGCCAAGATGGACAGGCCCATGGAGGTTGCAGACCGATCTTAAATTCCAGCCCGAGTTGTGTTTTCTGGTCAAAACAGAGCTATAAGACCCTGCCACAGGCTGAACTGCATCACCTCTCCATCTGGGCCAGGAGGACGGACTGCATTCCTGGGAAACAGTGAGCCAAATAAATCCTTGTGACCTTTAAAACAATGTTATTCCAAGTCAGGTTTGAAAATGTAAGCCGTGGTGTTCCATGGTCAGCATCAAAAGCAAAGAATGTTCTTCAACAGAAGCTTTGTCTGAAGGCATCCGAGTCCACGCATCCATGCAGTTGTCTTCCTTGGTGCCATTAAGGAGGTGCCCTGCCTCACAGCACAGGGCTCCTTAACCACAAACTCATCTGAACAAAGATGAATCTGATGGATTAGCTGCTTCTTTTTTACACTATGACTGAAACCACAGCCCACGATTTAACTGCCTTTATTTTATGCTTAAAATATACATATAAAAGGGGAGTAGGGGGAGATTAGGAGAAAATAATTAGACTGTGCCAAAAAAACACTTGAAATTCTAGCCATAGCTAAAATCAATAGTAAAGGACCAACTGATGCTGGAAGGAGATAACTACAAGAAGTCTGAATAAAGCCTAAATGAGTTTCTTCTCATTAGCTTCAGAATTGTGTAAAGTGATCTTCAAGAAAACCAGCATCCACAGTTGTGGGGTCCACTGCCACACCCAGGAGGGTGAGTCTGAGAAAGGGCTCTCTCCGTGCCTGATGTGACGTAAAGCGCTCCTACTGGAATCTGGTGGAGAACTTAGGAGACACGGGCACAGTCAATGGCAGCTCACTGGACTTCACCTCCACAGCTGCATACTTGCGGATTGGATTCGCCTTATGTACCTGCAAAGGAGGAAAGCAAGGTCACCCCTGAGAAGGGTGCAGTGCGAGTTGTCTGCTTCTGTCCTTTAGAGGAAAATGGTTGGAAAGGTTTATAGATCCCAACTACAAAGTTAAGGAAATTAAGGAAGGAGGGTGCAGTAAAATGAAGAAGCATGGTGCCCCAACAGGTTTCTACTGTTGGTCATTGGGCCCTCACTAAGAATGTCAGGCTTATTCTCAGTGTCACTTACTAGGGAGTCCTTTTCAACTATAGCAGACAAAAGTCCCAAGTTAAAAAATGGAGAGAGGAGCTGGCTTTGGAACCTATTCCCTATGGTGGAACACCTCACTCAGCCTTGACGCAGGGGCAGGAGCTTGGTCCTGATTCAACTTGATATGCCACGCTTTGTTGATTCCCATGGGAGGCCTTACCCTTTCTAAAGAATAAATTTGGGGGGGGGGGGGGCTAGAAAGGGGAAACTATGGTTGGCATTTAAAATAAATTTAAAAGTTCAATTAAAAAAAAAAAATTGTGCCAGGGGCTGGAGCAAAGGTTCAGTGGCTAAGTGCACTGATTATTCTTCCAGAGGACCCAGGTTCAATTTCCACCACCTACATGGTGGCTCACAACCATCTGTAACTCTATTCCCAGGGCATCTGTCACCCTCCTCTGACCTCTGAGGGCACCAGGCACACACATGCTGGATATGCACACATGCAAGCAAAACATATACATAAATTAATAAATAAATCTTTTAAAAATTTAAAGAAATAAATGTAATACTTTTAAAAATAAGATCTGATGCCCTTTCCTAGCTTCCATGGGCACCCCATACAAATGGTTCACAGACATATAGATAGTCAAAACACTCATATCTAAAAAAAATCACCAGAGTAAAATTTTAAGCTTATTTGATTGGCTTTTAGTATTCAACAAAATCAGTCCAAAACAAAAGGCAAAAAAGCAAGAATCAAATAATCAAGAAGGGCTGCTAAGGAGACACTGTGCTGGCTATCCTCATGAAGACTGTAAGATCAATCTCGGAGTGAGCCAATTAGATTAATCTCAGAGTGAGCCCATTTAATACAGTGATAAGCAGCACTGATTCTGCTTAAGGTATTACCACTAGCCTACACTGAGAACTGTTGTAAGAAACAGATTTATACTAGGAACAAACACAGGTACCTGAAAAATACAGGCAGGTACCTGAAAAACAATAAAATAAAATAAAATAAAAATACCATGGCGAAGCAGAGGCTGGTATGCACCTAAGAGAGACTGTACTGTTCCCCTTCACTTGGTGGATGGGAATAGTTGGTCCCAGCTCCACCAGAAAACACAACAGAGACAAGCCAGGGTTTGTCAGTGTGCATGCTGCCCAGCTGATTACCAGTTCCTTCCGGAGCTTGACTAGCTCCTCCTTTTTCTGCTCCTCTTCTTGTTGTCTGACTTCCTCCAGCTGCTGCATTTTCCTGGCTTCTTCTTCAGCCATTCTCTTTTCCAGCTCCTGCCGTTCCTTGGCTCTCCTCTCGGTGGCCAGTTGAAAGGGCTCCTCCTGAACTAGAGAACCAGACAGGTTCTCTGAGCATAGAAACACAGACAACATTGATGCACACGCAGTACTCCAGAAGCCTAGGCCCCCAGGACCAGGCCAGGTGGAAAGACATGGCTGGCACCCAAAAGCTACCAAGAAAAGAAGTGTGGAGTAAAGTCCCATTACAAACGTAGAAGGCTGAGTAGCTGGAAAGGCCTCTGGAAGACCCAGTGAGGTGGCACAGCTTGCTCAACACTATATGCTGCTCTCCCACACAGGAATTCAACACAGAAGGAGAAGAACCCCAACTTCTGACATGTTATCCAATGCCTAAGAAATCCAACCCTCCTCCTCCCTCATCCACTTGCACCCCTCTTGGGTGTGGATAGCCTATGACTGTCACCGAAAAGGCCAGTTGCATCTGCCAACACTATAGTTCTACTTGTCTGCCCCAACACACTGAACAACTTAACGGAGGTCCTGACTCCACCAAGAGCAAAAGCTGGGTCTAAGGGAAGAAAGCTACCATCCTCTCAGGTAAGGCTTGTTGACATAGCAAAGCCCAGCACCATCCCATGCAAAGTTTGACATTCTGTCCCAACCCCCAATAGCACATAAAAATACTACCAGCAACTGGTTTCTTCTTCTTGGGAACAAAGGGCTCCTGGAAGATGACAGTGTTTGGACGAGCCTTGAAGCAAGCTGCCTCCTTCTGCTGTTTCAGCTCTTCCTCCAGCTGTCAGAAGGAAAGTCTGTCAGATAGCAGCACATCAGGGTTCATGACTACTGCAGCAGGAACACACATTCTGAAGGTTCTGGACTGCCTCATTAAAAAAACATAGCACTTTCTAAGTGCTGGCTGCTCTTCCAAAAGACCTGGGTTCAATTCCCAGCACCCATATGGCAGCTCACACCTGATCTCCAGTTCCAGGAGATCTGACACCTTCACACCAATGCACATAAAATAAAGTTTAAAAAATAAGGAAAAGATAGTACTTCCTATCCCTTTATTTCCTATAAGTGAGTAGTTAGACACAGAGGCTCAATTTTTGTTTTGAGGAGAGACAGAGAATAGTGTTAGTGGCAAAATTAGATGGCAGTTATACCAACCTATAATTCTCCATCATTTGTCTTTAATCGCCTACTATGATATATAAAGAGCAATTGTATCACATACCATGCTGAAAAACCAGCCTGTCTTATTGAGAGCAAATTCTCCCATCCTGTTTTTTTTCTTTTTTTACCAAAGCACCAACTTAAGGAAATAGATGAGGAAGGAGTTATAGAAACTCTTGACTGCAATCTATGGGGCCTCTGGCAGTGGATCAGTATTTATCCCTAGTACACGAATGGACTTTGGGAGGCAATCCACACAGAGGGATACTCTCTCAACCTAGACACACTGGGGAGGGCCTAGGCCCTGCTCCAAATGATGAGACAAACTTTGAAGATCCCCCATGGAAGGCCTCACCCTCCCTGGGGAGCAGAAAGGGGATATGGGATAAGGGGTTGGTGAGAGATGGGGAGGAGAGGAGGGAGAGGGAACTGGGACTGACAGGTAAAACAAGCTAGTTTTGGGCTGGAGAGATGGCTCAGAGGTTAAGAGCACTGACTGCTCTTACAGAGGTCCTGAGTTCAATTCCCAGCAACCACATGGTGGCTTACAACCATCTGTAATGAGATCTGGTGCCCTCTTCTAGCCTGGAGGCATACAAGAAGACAGAATACTGTACACATAAAAAAAATAATAAAAAAAAAAACAAGCTAGTTTCTAGTTTAAATAAAAAAAAATCTGAGAGAAAACAAAACAAAAAAAAAAAACCTCTTGACTTGCGTCACCAGGTGACTGCTAAGGCAGAGGGGAGCAAATTCAGCCTCCTAGCCAAATGTAACCTGAACTAAAAATAGTCTTTACATGTTCAAATACACATACAGGGTGCAAGTAGGGAGAGAAATTATCTGACAGAAGTCATATGTAAAACCTATAAAACCTAAAATAAATATTACCGACCTTTCACAGAAAAAAATTGATGTGACTCCTGGTTTACATAGAGTATATTAACATAATCAAATCTGTCATCCCAGATGATTTCAGTGTAGACAGTGAATCTACCTGTCCAACCCACCTATGGGCCTGCCCACTCACCTAGACACCCATCAATCCATCAACCAACCAACCAACCGGCAACATTTCAGCTGCTCATCATTCCTACCTGAAGCTTCCACACCTCAGCTTTAAAGGCACCTCTTTTGTCTGTCTCCAGAGAGAAGGGCTCAGCTTGAGTCACACTCTTTACCTTTTTCTCTGGCAAGTTAATGGTGTCAAACTGGGGCAGAGGAAGTGCCTTGAACTTGGGCACCTGGTGGGAAAACAAACATAAGAGTATCCTAAGGAACTCTGATCAATGGGGAAACCAGGAAAGCCCACCCCACATGCCTATCAGATCCTGTTAACGACTCGGTGCCTTCCCACCTTCAAGTCTCTGAATAAAACAGATTGATCACAAAAACTTTTAAGGAACTCTTGCCAGACATGGCAGTGCACACCTATAAGCCCAGACCTCCAGGAGCTGACGAAAGGGGATCAGGAGATCAACACCCCTCCTATACTATACAGTGAGACAATATCTCAAAAGCCAAACAGAGCCAAAAGAGTCTCTTAGCAAGTATGCTGCTGGTAAGCATTTTGTCAGCTTGACACAAGCCTGGATGATCTGGGTAGAGGAAACTTCAACTGAGAAAACATAGCCAAACAAGAACCTTCCCAAGTTGCTTTTGGTCCTGGTATTTAATCACAGCAATAGAAAGCAAACTGAGAAGGAGATAAAGCAATATTTGCTCCTGAGTATGCATATGAACCTGAAAGACAGGAAGGTAAGTCAGTGAAAGCAGCAAGGCCTAGCAAAGCCATGGATCTTTTTAGACCCCCCCCCCAAAACCTAAATTTTCCTCCTAATACTTCCAAAACTTGGCAGTCATGAGCCTCCTTGTGCCAGATAGATTACTTAAGTTACTTGCCCAGTATGTATTTCATAGGGGGTCTTGCAGGCATCAGTAGAAAGCAATAATAGTAATTTTACATAAAAGGTATACATAGTTTTTATTAAAAAGTATGTTTTTATGTATTTAGTAACCTTATGTAAAAGTTTCCTAAGGAGGTGTGGTGGTGGTACACACCTGTGAGCCCAGTACTTGGAAAGCAGAGGCAGGAGGACAACCACAGCTTCAAAGCCAGTCTGCTCTACACGGCAAGACACAGCCTCAAAATAAACAGGAAAAAAGGTTCCCTTTGAGACATCAAAGAATAGTATTTTGTCCCGGGCATTGGTGGCACACGCCTTTAATCCCAGCACTCAGGAGGCAGAGGCAGGTGGATTTCTGTGAGTTCGAGGCGAGCCTGGTCTCCAGAGCGAGTACCAGGATAGGCTCCAAAGCTACACAGAGAAACCCTGTCTCAAAAAAACCAAAAAAAAAAAAAAAAAAAAAAAAAAAATAGTACTTTGCAAATTACAGAAATGAAACACCTACCTCCCCTTTCTGCATTTCTTTTATTTTCTTCTCCTTCTGCAACTGGCGCTCTTTGTCCCGGGTATCAAAGGAGAAAGGGCACACTTCCACGTTTCTTGCCTCTGGAATATGGGGCTTATAAGGCACCCCATAATGTGGCACAGGTTGAGCTCGTATCACAACTGGTTTATCCTCTTCCTAAGAAAAAAACTACAGTTTAGGCTCTTCCTGTCTCCCCACACACCCACCTCAGACTGTGGCCTCAGTAGGCACTATATGAGATAAGCCACTCATCAATGCAAGGTCCCAATGCCTTAGGTGTGACTAAGGAAGACTAGCTTCCTTTTCTATCAAAGATGGACAATACCAATTCAGATGTCACATCCATGGGTCAAAGCAATGCAAAAGCATTTGGTAAGTGACTAACACAATTACTCTTTAAAAATCTCAAGTTCCTCACAGGAATGTTAGAATAACTAGTGAGATCAGACAGACAAAAGGAAGAGCAGAAGAAGATACTAAGTAAGCATACTTATACCTTAGATTCTGACTCAGACTCCAGACTCTAACACATGTGACTGGAATTAATGGTTGCCAAACCCAGAATAGGACCAAGTTAGTTGTTTGGGTTCAAGGTAGTAACATAAGATTACCATGTATTTTAGTTTCAACTGAACCTATAAAAAGGTTTATGCTGAGGTCTGCTATAAAATTACCCTAACTCTGGATATTTATAGATAAAATAGGAGATGTAATAAGAAGCTAGCATGATCAATGACAGTCCACATTTTATAGTCCCATGAATCACCACCCTCAGTCACTTTGTGACCCTTGGGTATCAAGGACAAGACAATGTAACTGCTTAGTATAAGTTTTAAAAGTCCCTCACTGAACAGTGACAATAACTCAGGGAACTCTTAAACATGTTACAAAGATAGCATGATCAATGCTATAGCATGAACAAGCTTCTAATGCTTAACCATCCTGCTGTTTTCATAGATTGTAACCCATTGTCACTGAAAGCCAAGAGTCACACCTTCCCAATTGCTCTCAGAGAAACAAAACAGATGATCGAACATTCACATCATTCTCACAGTTAGCTCCAGACAAGATCTGATTGCCTTTGGACCCTGTTAATTGTGAAGAGTGGTTAAGACTCAGATTGATGATGCAGAAGGAAAAGGAGAGAGAGAGACCCTCCTCCCAGGGAGTCACCTCTTCTTCTTTGGTGGGCACTCGGATCCTGTTCTTCAATGCAAAAACTGGTGACTTGGGGACAGTGGCTGGAATTACCTTCTTTTCAGGAACGCCCTAGGAGGAGCACACAACTCAATTAGACATCCCAGAACAATTTCAATTCCCAGTATACTACATGAAATACTAAAACTAAGGCTAGGAAGGAAAAACCCAGATGAGTAGGCACTTGCTGACAAGCCTGACCTGTGTTTGATCCCATAACCCACGGTGCAAGGAGAGAACCTACTCCCAAAGTTGTCCTCTGGTCTCTACATGAGTATGCAAGGACTAACACTCTTATATAAACAACACACACGCACGCACGCATGCACGCGCGCGCGCGCGCGCAAACAAAGGGAAATTAAAATGCCTTCAAAACATTCAAATGCAAAGACAACAGCTGTCAGCACCATAGAAGCTCCACTCGTGGGAACCAAAGCTGACAGATGTGAGCATTTGCCTGTGACCCATGTACACCTTCTCACATATTCTGTCAATCGTATATTATGCATAACAGCTAACACGATGAAAATGTGTTGAATATATTTATTCTATCACATTATGATTTTATTACATGAATTTATTATATTATATAGGGAATATTAGCCAAGGAAAGAAGCTTGGACATGATCAGTATAAATGTAGTTTTTCCTAAATATTTTCCATCCATGGTTAGTTGAATTCACAGATACAGAACTCAGAATTATAGTTGACTGTGCGTGCAAAGTGTATTGTACTTTTATATTTTATGTGTATGAGGTATTTGTCTACATGTATGTATGTACACCATGTGCATGCCTGATACCAGAGAAGGTAAGAAGAGAGCATTGGACACCCTGGGACTAGAGCCATGGATGACATTGAACCACCAGTGGGTGCTGGGAATCAACCCAGGTCCTCCAAGAGTCACAGGTGCTCTGAACTGCTGAGTCACCCTTCTAGCCCCAGACTTTGTTTTCTAAAGACTGCCATCGCTAGCACAGGAAACCCAGTCAGCCGTCTTTGTGATTAATAGGCTCACATGATTCTTTTAAGTTTTTTAGTATGCAGTAGTGTTCTGCTGTTCTGCTATGTCCTAGGCAGATGAACAGCACCACTTCGTGGGGAACTGCACTAGGATTATGTGACATGGGAACAAAGTCTGGGAAGCCAGGGCTCTGCTCTAGCCCACTGGGCTTCCCATCTGCAGGCAGGCACATCAACAGCCTCCTAGGCCAGAAGTTTTCACGAAACAAAGCAAGTCAATATCTAAGAACTCATTTAGTTCTGAATAACCCCCTCCTTTCATCGTTTCTAACCTTCTCAGCATCTAACCAGGGGATACAGTGAGAGTGGTTCGATACCTGCAGTACAAAGAGGAGCAAAGAAACCCCTAAGCAGCAGCCACACAGTTGACAGTGGAATCAAGCCTCAGAATTTAAAAAAGCCAAAGACATTCTGTAAGAAATGATCTTTGGGAGCTGGAGAGATGGTTCAGTGGTTTAGAGCACTGACTGCTCTATCAAAGGACCTGAGTTTGGACTTCAGCATCCATATCAGTAGCTTACAAATACCTGTAACTCCAAGGAACCATACAATCCTTTCTGACCTCCAAGGTACACACATATACATAAAACAAACCTTTTAAGAAAAAAGAAATCACCTTTGGGGAGCCAGTGAGATGGTTCAGAGGGTAAAAGTGCTTGATGCCAAGCATGGTGACCAGAGAGTTCCATTCTTGGAATCTTACTGCCCCAAATTGTCCTCTGGCCTTCACAAGTACACATACACACCAAGAAGCAAGCAAGCAAACAAATATAATACAAAAATGTCACTAAGTTATGGTTAGCCAGGTAGAGTGGAGTACAGCTTTAATTCCAACACTTGGGAAGCAGAGGCAGACAGATCTCTGTGAATTCAAATTCAAAGCCAGCCTGGTCTACAAAGCCAGTCCAGGCTAGCCAGGGCTGCATGAGAGAGAGAGAGAGAAAGAGAAAGAGAGAGAGAGAGAGAGAGAGAGAGAGAGAGAGAGAGAGGAGAGAGGGAGGGAGAGAGGGAGGGAGGGAGGGGGGAGGAAGGAGGAAGGGAGGGAGAACAAAAGCAAAAAAGGAAAATTAATCTTTCTTTGCAGCAACTATTTAACTAAATCCCATCTGTACTACAATCAAATCTAGGGGTTCAATTAGAAACAAAGAAAAAGAAAATTATATAATTTCCAGAAACGTAAGTTTCCTTCTTGTTATTTTTATATTTCAATTCTAAGTTCTTTGAGGCCCAGAAATGTTGCCATTTGCATCCCTCTGCCTTTTCCATACTTTAGGGAAGTGGTTCTCAACTTTGCTAATGCTTCGACCCTTTAATGTAGTTACTCATATTGTGGTCACCGCTGACTATATACATATTTCCTACTACCAGTTCAAAACTGTAATGAATCATAAAGTAAACATCTGTGTTTTCCAATGGTCTTAAGCAACTCCTGTGAAAGGGTCAGTTGATCCTCAAATGGGTCATGACCCACAAGTTGGGAATCTTTGGTGTAGGGTAAATGACCCAAGCTCACTTCCTAGTTTGAAAATCTACCAAAACCTACCACTCCCCACCCTGGAAATCTCCTGAAAAGTTCCTCCTCCAAGAAATCTGTCTCCTGCTCAGTTCTTTGCTGCTTCTCAATTGAGCAGAGGCAGACACGCTGTCTCTCCCAATAAAACTCTTGTGTGAGGTTTGTTGTGCAGTATGACTTTGTGGTATTCTTTGGCTCCCAAATGCCAGGATACTTCTCCCCTTTGAGCTGTAAGACTTGTATAAGGGAAACCTCTCCCCTCTGAGCTGTAACACTCCTATAGGGGACCTCCTCAGAGCTGTAACACATATAGGGGAAATCTCTCCTGACCTGTAACACTTACACATAGCCCCTACAGGAAGACCTGGTGGTGAGAGCATGTGCTCTGTTCTACCAGCCTCTACTAGCTCTGAGGACAAGTGCCTGTCTTCTTCTACCTTTGAGCTCCCAGTGTCCAGCACAGAACATGGACACAAGCTGGTGCATATCGCTTATAGTGTCATTTACGGGGCTATCTAATGTTAGTGTGCCTGTGCTATGAGTCACTAGGTCAGGCACTGAACAACATGGACATACAAGTTCCCTGTTCTCCCTTCCAGTAGGACAAAAGAGAGACAATAAGCAAGTAGTAATTGAAATACATCTTAATCCTCATCAATGCTCTAAAGAAACCCAGTGGATACCAGAGCTAAAATTAGGGAAAGTCTCCCTTAGTAGAAGTTTGGGGAAGGTGATGTGTGTTTAGAAGCAGACAGTGTGCGTGGAGAGATGGCATGGGAAATGCCCCAAGTACCCTGGGATGAGCTCTCAGGCCTCTCTCAGTACTCTTAGGATCTTACCGGTAACATCATTTCAACATGTATGCAAAAAAACACACTAAAGCGAAAAAAACCTGGACGACCGCCTGCTGTCCCTAAGCTATACCCAAAACAAAAAATGAATCTGCTTCCTAGCTTCGCTGACACTGCAAGCCCATCCGTCCATGGTGTGCCAGCCCCCACCAGTCAGCAGCAAGTTCCCACTCCACACATCATGCTCAAGGCTTCCATCACACCACCCCTGCCCCAAGAGGCATTTTTCAACTCTGTCTCATGCTCTCTGCTACTTAGGTCCATCTTTTCACTGTCTTTACCACCTGTCAATCACAGGTGTAAAACAAAGAAAATTCCCTTCTCTAATTTCTTACAGAACTTTTCCTTTCCCAAATTATGAGTATTGGTTCCCTCTGCAAACTGTCTGCATGGCCACTGCTCAGGGGCCTCTCTGTACCACAAGCAGCACCGCATGCTCACTGTCTCTCCCGAAGCACTGTAAAGGGCACACAGGAGCAGAGTTCTGTCACTTGCAGAAGCTGGTAGGCAAGCCACATAACCTTTTTAAAGCCGAGTTTTCCGAAAAAATGAAATAGAAAATAATACATCTAAGTCACTGTGGTGGTACATGCCTTTAATCCTAGCATGTGGGAGGCAAAGGCAGGTGGATTTCTGAGTTCTGGGTCAGCCTGGTCTCCACAAGGAGTTCCATGACAGCCAAGACTACATTGAGAGACCTGTCTCAAAGAGAGAGAGAGAGAGAGAGAGAGAGAGAGAGAGAGAGAGAGAGAGAGAAGAGAAGAGAAAGAACAAGAAAGAGAAAATAGAATACATCTAATGTCTCTTTTATGTGCCAAGGCTACATAGTGAAAGCCTGTCTCAAAACAAAACAAAAAAACAAAAACACCTCAGGACAACACACGCACTAAGAGGGACAGTGTCAGTATTCAGGCATCTGCACTGGCCTGTCCTTGGGGTTCTGATACACACTCAGCTGTAGCCACTAAGAGCACCACCTACGCACATTCACTCTGTTCCCCTTTAAAAGGTCTCTGCCCACCCCTATCCCTATCCACAGCCCCTGCCCCTTGTTTCTCTCTCCTGCAGCTCCTATCTTTGGAGGTCGGTCTCCCCCTTTCTCTTTCGCCTTTTTATGATCCCTTTCCCTAATAAAAGGCCCTGTGCTTGAACCCTGTCACATCATACAGTATCACTATTATCAACATGATGGCTTACTATGTGTCAGGAACCCTAGTTGCTCCCCTGAGATCTCTCTGACCTGAACTCAGCAAATCAGAATGCCAGGGCTGGGAGTCTGCTTATGTAAGAAGAGCCCCAGAGGATTCTGAAAAGCAACTGGTCAGGCAGCACTCTCTTTCAGGACCCCACAGATTGGGTCATACCTTCCCTGTACACACACGCACACATGCTGGGGGGACCGGGGGGACCATATGAAAGAAAAAGAAAGCTAGAGGAAATGATGATTATTTATAGGTACAATCACGATATTTATAAAGTCTTGGAAGTACAACTTGAGGTTCCTTTTGGTTTAAGGCAAGGAAATGGAATAAACAAAATAATGCCCAGAGATAATTTATCAGTTCCACTCATGGCTGACTCTAAAAACACAAAACAAAAGGCAGCACACAGTAAGCCAGACAGTGGCATAGTTTTTGTAGTCCTGGCTACCAGGAGGCTGACACAAGGCCATCTCTGCACCCTAGAAGTTTAAGGCAAGCCTGAGCAACAAAGCAAGACCCCATCTCAAAACAAGGATTAATTATTTAAATCATGTATAGTGTACTAGTTTATATTTTATGAGACTTGAACATTTACAGATCTTGGGTATCCATGCAAGTTCCAAAACCAATCTTGCAGATACCAAAGGATAACTCCATATGAAGAGACATGTGTCAGCCACCACAGCAACATAATGACAACACAAAAATGTCACCTCCACTACACATCATCAAAGTTTGCCCCCTCCACAAAGCACTCCCTGGAGCTTCCCTCCATCTTCTGCAGACCTTTACAATACTTGCTGGGAGGTGATGGTGCACGTTTTTAATCCCAGCACTCGGGAGTTAGAGGAACGTGGATCTCTGTGAGTTTGAGGCCAGCCAGGTCTACATAGTGAGTTCTAGGACAGTCAGGGCTGTTACATAGAGAAATCCTGTCTCAAAAAAATCAAAACCGACCAAAACAAAACAAAACAACTACATCTCTTTTCAGAGCACACCCTCCTCTGAGTCTGTATTACTAACCCACATATTGACTCTTACTAGACTTGAAGTCCTAAGACCAAAATCCAATTCTGCTGATCTTTTTGTCATCTTCAGCCTGATGCAATGATGTCCCGTTCATAGTACCAACTTGAACATTTGTGAATGGGCAGATATTTGGCCATGTGCCAGCACCGACACCTCAAGTATTCTTACCACAACATCTTCCAAGATCTTAGTAGGGCAAGGTCTGGAATGAAACTCAAAGTGTTCGTCCTCTGATTTTTTCTTTGACTCTCGATCTTGAATTCGTTTCTCAATTTCCAAATCAAAACCAACAGGCTGAGTGGGAGGTTTAGCAGGAGGTCTCTTGGGCAAGATGGGTCCACCTTCAAAAATTCTGGGATCAAGTTCTCGGGCTTTGAATTTGTATCTGTAAGGAGGGAATTTAGATAATACAAAAGGCTTTTAAATTAAGTAAAAACAACACAATGTAGAGCACAACCTATAAATAAGCGATATGATGATCCACCATGTACAGCAAAATCTCTCCTCTCCATCTCTTCTTCTTCACCTCCCGAGAAGAGTAAAGAGGCAGGTGGGAATTTGGAGGCTTGGGGCTCCATGATGGCAAACACCAGTGGTCCTAGCATTCAGGAGGTAGATATAGACAGGAGACCAGAAACTCTAGTTTGGGGCTGGAGATCTGGCTCAGAGGTTAAAAGCACTGGCTGTTACTCCAAAAAGCCTCAGTTCTCCGTACCCACAGCAAACAACCATCTGAACCATCTCCAGTTCCAGAGGATTTAGACATCCTCTTCTGGATTTCTGGGGCACCAGGCATACCAGTGATATAGATACTACCTAAAGGCAAAACTCCCATAAATATACACTAAAATTAAAAAAAAAAAAATTAAAGTGGGGGCTGGAGAGATGGCTCGGCGGTTTAGAGCAACTGTTTGTAATTCCAATTCCAGGGAACCTGACATCATCACACAATGCACATAAAATAAAGTTACATGAAACCCTGTCCAAAAAAAAGATAGGCCCTCCGGGCGTTGGTGGCACACGCCTTTAATCCCAGTACTCTGGAGGCAGAGGCAGGTGGATCTCTGTGAGTTCGAGGCCAGCCTGGTCTACAGACCGAGTGCCAGGACAGGCTCCAAAGCTACCCAGAGAAACCCTGTCTCGAAAAACAAACAAACAAACAAAAAAAGATAGGCCCAAGGCTGGTGACATGGTCTGTAATCCCAGCAATTCAGGCCAAGGCAAAGGGCTGGGGTGTAGCTCAATAGTACAGGGTTTGTCTTACATACACAAAGGCCCTGGGTTTCACCCCAATAGCACAATGATCAGGGAAGATCTAGGCAGATAAGTTTCAGTGTGGACTACACTAAGTTCCAGCCTTTTCCAGAGGTCAGGTCTACCTAAACTAACCTTAGTCCTCAATTGGAATCCAAAAATTAAGTTCTGCCACCCCAACTTCTGCACTGCATTTTAGTCAAATTATGCTTCAAGGCACCGCCATATTCCCACTTTCAGTCAGAGACAGGAACAGTATAGAGAGCCACAATGAGAAGGAACAGAGCAACCACTGCCCCTATAGGGCTGAAAGCAAACACGCAGTTTCTGCTAGGCTTCCTCAGTCATGCCAGTGGAACTTACTGCTGGAGTTTCTCAAGCTCCTCAGCCTCCTGTTCTGCTGTACTTTTGCAGGTCACAAGCCTGGCACGGTATTTGGTTTGCAGTATGGGAGTCTTCGGATCTCTTGAGATCTTGGTCTCAGTTCTGGAGGGTAACAAGTCTGTAAAGCAAAATCATAGGCATTTGCTTAGCTCCCTAAGACCCAATTCACCTGTAAGTGCTGACGACCCAACCAGATAGAAAATGGACAGAGAGGAGTGCCTGGCTTTGTGCACTCAACTCAACCTACAAATGCTCCCTCCCTTCCTCCTATCATTCTTACTGAAGGGTAAATTCTTCTGCCATCTCTGCACCTAAAGTCTACCCATGCCTGATGGGGTCCTTGCTACTCACTGCATTTCTACTGACAACACCAATTATTTTGCTTATTGCTGACAATGTTTTTATTATAGTTTTAAGACACCAAACCTTTACAAACCAACGAGTACTTCCAACTTTATGAATTTTACAACAACATTCAGATCAAAGCATGCAGGCCACCACTCATAGAAAGTCAATAGTAAAGCGAGGCATGGTGATACAGGCCTGTAATCCCAGCATTTAGGAAGCTGAGGCAGGAGGATCAATAGTTGATGCCCAACCTAGGCTACATTTCAACTTTCAAACCCATCTCACTACAGCTACACCAAACAAGGAGGCAGTGAAAAGCAAAGTCAGATTATCAACTGGGGAAAGTTAGAGAAAGACGGGCCATGAGAGCAAGAACAACTATTCCAACACATCAGTATTAGAGCAGCAGCTCAACCTTCTTAAACACTGCAACCCTTTAATACAGTTCCTCAGGTTGTGGTGACCCCCAATTATTACAAAATTATTTTTGTTGCTACTTCATAATTGTAATTTTGCTACTGTTATTAGCTGTTATGCAAATATCTGTGTTGTTTTCCAATGGCGTTAGGTGACTTCTGTGAAAGGGTCATTTGGCCTCCAAATGGACTCCTCTCTGTCCATTTTCTATCTGGTTGGGTCATGACCCAGAAGAACTGCTCAGAGGGCATTGATTTCCCTGGCCAGTAACAAACCTGACAATTTTCATAATTACTTAAAACGAATTCTTTTATCTAGACTTTATATAACACTGAGAAAAATTAATTATCAAATTCATTTACTAGATTCTTCTTTGAAACTGAATCTGACTATGAAACCTTGGCTAGGTGAAAACACTTAATTCCATGAAGATAAAAAATTCACTATTTTCCTAATATAAAATGCCAGAATATAGTAGCAATCTTAAACACTGCAGTTAGGGTTGAGAATGTAGTAACCTGGTAGAGTGCTTGCCTAGCATGCACAAGGCCTTAGGCTGAATCCCCAGCACTGCAAAAAGAAAACAGAGAAATACTGCATTTAAAGTAAATCAGGAGGCCACCCAAAGCAAAATGCTAAACGATGCCTAACAGTAGAGGAAATTTTTAGGTAGATCAAAACACAGGCTGTTCTATCCAAGATACTAACCATATTTGTTTTTGTTTTGAGTCTGGGTTCTTTGTAGCCCAAGCTGCCTTGAAATCACTATTTAGACCAAGCTGGCCTTGAGCACCAGCCTCCCAAATGCTGGATTACAAGCACTCACCACCAACCCAATTTAGCCATATCTCCTAATAAGATATATATTATTTCCTTTCTTTCTTTCTCTCTTATTTGTTTTCAAGACAGGGTTTCTCTGTGTAGTCCTGGCTGTCCTGGAACTCACTCTGCATACCAGGCTGGCCCCCAACTCACAGAGATTTGCCTGCCGCTACCTCCCAAGTGTTGGGATTAAAGGCATATGTCACCACTGCCTGGCTTCAATCTGTAGACTTTATCTTCTTGCAGAAATTACTTTCATAAAGACAGAAACAACTAAAATCCTTTCATCTGTCCACCAGCAAAATCTATACAAACCCATCAGCATCTGCACCCATTTACCTCACGCTCCTACTTCCCTCTGCACAATCACCGCTGCTGTACCAGGGACAGGAGAAGAGGTGTGGCCAGCCAAGGTAGTGGGAGGAAACTTACTCTCTTCCTTCTTGTTCCTCAGATGATATCTATTAGGGGTTCGTTTGTGGAAGGCTTCAACCTGCTGTGCAATGGGCACATATGTAGAAGCTGTTTCGTCAAATGTTCTTTTCTTTCCTTTGGACAGATTGAAAGGTTTAACAACGGTGCATCCTTTAGTCACTCGGGCCTATGAAGAGAAAAGCTGTTCAGCAAATTGAATATGCGCTACCACCAGCCACAGATGCAGCATAGCCTCGGAGCCAGGATTCAGCAAGGGTTACATTATACATGTCATCATGTTTCTTTTGAAAAAGTTGGCACTTAGGATATTGTTTTGCAATAGTACATATGGAGTTTTCCCCATATGTATATAATGCTTTGAACCAATCAAGAGCAAGTTTTCTTAGAAGTCAAAAGGAAGGGGAAAGGAAAGGAAAGGTTAAAACACACATACAAAACTGGCATAGACTGCTGGGTCTGCATCAAGTCAGACAGAAGCCTAACTTAGCCATCTCCACATATAACCTCAACATATCCTCAACCCGATCCATACAAAAGCCTGCACCACCATGGATCATTAACTTTTCATGTATTTTTAGTGAGATTCTTTAATAAGGTCTCTCTCTATACCCCTGGCTGGCTTGAAACTCACTCTGTAGACCACGAACCTTTAACTCACAAGACATCCTCTGCCTTGCTAGGATTAAAGTCATGCACCACTAGGTCTGGCTGGATCATCAATTTTGAAAGGAAGCAAAACTCAAAGACATAATTTTAAAGAGACAGCAACAAATCCAGGCTTTAAGACTGACTCAAGCCAGGCGTTGGTGGCTCACACCTTTAATCCCAGCACTCGGGAGGCAGAGGCAGGAGGATCTCTGTGAGTTCGAGGCCGACCTGGTCTCCAGAGCGAGTGCCAGGACAGGCTCCAAAGCTACACAGAGAAACCCTGTCTTGAAGAAAAAAAAAAAAAAAAAAGACAGACTCAAGACCAGGCACAGACTACAACTTCATCTCAAATAAAGGACAATGATGACTACAAACATGAGCAGTTCTGAAATGCTGACTTAGGATCATCATTGTTTCTGGTGACGCTCTGCTAAGAAAACTGGACACATGGGCACCAGCCATACATACGATGTCTAGGCATTCATGCAGACAAAACACATACACACATAAAATAAATAAATAATTGGAGGGGGGCTGGAGAGGTGGCTCAGTGGTTAAGAACACCTGCTGTTCTTCCAGAGGACCTGAGTTCAATTCCCAGCACCCACACCAGGTGGCTCACAACAACCACCTCTAACTCCAGCTGTCAGGGTGGGGATCCCCACTCCCTCTTCTAACCTCTGCTATCACCCACACATTTTTGGCATACACTCACAAGACACACAGGTATATACATAAAGAATAAAAGGAAAATAAATACTAAAGTATTTAAAAATAAAACTTTGCTTTAAGTCAGGAGTGGTAGTGCACACCCACCATCCCATTATTGGGGAGGTGAAGGCAGGAGGATCAGGAGTTCAAAGGTCATCCTCAGCTACACTGTGAGTTTGAGGCAAGCATAAACTAAATGGGACCCTGTCTTTAAAACAAAAAACAAAAAAACACCAGAACAGTGGTGATGTATACCTTTAATCCTAGCACTCAGAGAGGCAGAGGCAGAGGAGCTCTACAAGTTCAAGGCTCTGGTCTACAGAGCAAGTTCCAGAACAGCAAGGGGTACACAGAGAAACTTTGTCTCTAAAAACAAACAAAAAACCAAAACAAAACTACAAAAAAAAACAAACAAACAAACCGAAAAACAAAACAAAACCCAAACACAATATGAGAGGTCTGCACCAACCCATTTTCACATAAGCTTTGATCTTGAATGCAACATTGTAGACAACATGCATTTTTTTTAAAGTTTTTTTTTTTTCTAGATTTGATGTTTATTAAGGTTTTGAAAGAACAGATCCTAAAACCTAAACCTTTATGCCTAAACCTTTATGCCAATAACTAAAACCTTTATGCCAATAACTAACCCCTGGTTCTATCCTAATCTCCTTAATGTGTCTTACAGGTAAAACTAGGTGTCACTATGTTCATATGGCTCTAGATTTCTTTCTTTTATTTCTGACATTGTAATTACATCATTTCCCCTTCTCTTTCCTCCCTCCAAAGTCTCCTATACAACCTCTCCTTCCAGATTTATAGCCTCTTTTTTCTTTCTTTTTTTTTCTTTCTTTTTTTTTTTTTTTTTTTTTTTTCTCTCTGTAGCTTTGGAGCCTATCCTGGCACTTGCTCTGTAGACCAGGCTGGCCTCGAACTCACAGAGATCTGCCTGCCTCTGCCTCCCGAATGCTGGGATTAAAGGCGTGCACCACCAGCACCCAGCTATCACCTCTCTTTTCATTAACTGCTATTACATACATACATACATATTTCTACATATAACCTGCTCCCGTCTGTGTGTTCACTATTCTCTTGTCAACTTGACACAAGCTCAAGTTATCTGAAAGGAGGGAACCTTAAATTAAGAAAATGCTTCCATAAGATCCAGCTATTTTTTCTTAATTAGTGATTGATGGGGGAGGGCCCAGACCATTGTGGGTGGTGTCATCCCTAGACTGGTGGTCCTGGGCTCTAAGAAAGCAGGCTGAGCAAGCCAGGGGAAACAAGCCAGTAAGCAGCTCCCCTCCATGGCCTCTGCATCAGCTCCTACCTCCTTCCCTTCAGGTTCCTGCCCTGAGTTCCTGTCCTGACTTCCTTCAATGATGAACAATGCTATGGAAGTATGGAAGTATAAGCCAAATAAACCCTTTCCTCCCAAGTTTCTTTGCTCATGGTGTTTCATCACAGCATTAGTCACCCTAACTAAGACAGTCTGATTAATGTTACTTGTATGTATGTTTCAGGGCTGACCCTTTGTATTGGATAACCAATTGACATGCTCTTCCCTGGGCAAAATATTTCTCCAGTTGTCAGTATTCCTGAGTTACTTGTAATTCTTTGTATAGGGTTGAGGCCTCCTGAGCTTTCCCTCATCCATGTTAGCATCCATGTTAACAAGGGGGTTGTCCTTGTTCATTGTTCAGCATGTTTAAGCAGTCATGTTGGTGAGACTCTTTGGAGACACAATCTCCCAGCAAACTCCCTGACCCTACTGGGCTTGGGGCAGGCCTTTCCTATTGTGTCTAGTTTTATTAGCAGAGCACTGCCAGAAGCAATGATGACCCTAATTCTTCACACTTGCAGTCTCCATTGTCCTTTGAGATGAGGTCATACTCTCCACACCTCTTCCACACCTGAGCCTTCAAGTGCTAAAGAAAGCTTCTACAAATTTACGTGCTTCTATAATCTTACGTGCTTCATGTCCCATCTTAATTTTTACATAGATGTGGTAACATGCTTTTTCCCAGAGGAGTGATTCATTGACAGTCACACAGTTCACAGGGAATTTTTATCTATCTTGATTCAAATAGTAAGCCTCCCTCAATCATCCTAATATAAATAATGACCACAAATGCTACAGCTGAATCCTACTCAATTATTAATAATACTGTTACCTGGCAACTTACAGGAGATGGAGGATGCTTTCGAAGTTCAGACATGAAATTCACTTCCTTATACTCTTCCTGGTTCTTGGGATGTTGTTTGATTCGCTCATCTGTGAGGAAGTGAAAGTCAACTGTTTTGGTGACTTGGTTCACAGATTTCTTCACAGGTTGCCCTGAGGAGCAGAGTAAAACACACAGTTAACATTAAGAACAGAGAACATTAGTAAGTCCCTTTACAACTCTAATCCTTTCTGTATTTCTGTTACTATAGATCTAGGTTTTATGTTTGCTGAGTTCTATTGGGTTTTAAGTCCTTTGCTCAGATGCAAACTAGGTAAGGAAGAAGAACACACTGCTAGGATATAATCAAAGCTTTGAAGAAAGACAGTCACTCAAATTGCTCTATAAAGTCATGTCCTTACCCCCTTTTTTTGAAATGGTGTTGGAGATAGAACCCAGGGCCTCAGAAACCACTGAGAATACAACCCACATAGACTGACTTTAAAAGCAAAAAAAAAAAAAAAAAAAAAAACTTAACTCAGAATTTCTAAGAGGGGACCCTATAAACCCCAAAGTGGTTTTCCAACCCATTAAGCAGATCTCTGGCTTTGATGCCACCAATAGCACTATCTCAGAACCAAGCAAGTCTATGAGCTCTTCATTCAGTCATACTTTTCCTTCTAGCTATAGCTAGAAGCCAGGCTGGTTGTCTGTATCTCAATCGCCTGCTAACACACAAGAGAGGTACCACATGCTCTGAGAAAGCCCTGGTGTATGTAGGTAGTCGAGTGGAGAAAGTAACCACTAGGAAAGATGAGCCTCCAGCCACTGTTTTAAATAAATATATGGTCTTACGCTGACTACTCAAAATGGTTCTTTTTGTTTTGTTTTTGCTTTAGAGACCTCAAAAAATACTACTCAAAAAAAATTCCAAGAAGCACCCGCCCAGTTAAGGCCCCAGAGAGGCCCAGCTGACCTGGCCCTGCCAGAGCAAGCTTCTTGAACTCTTCATTCTTTCTCCGCATCTCTACCACCTCCTGCTGCATTTTTAGTCTCTTCTCCAACTCCTGCTCTTCAGTACTTTTTAGAACCTTCTGCCTAGAAACAAAAATCAGTAAGAGAGAGAAGAAAGGGGAAAAAGGGTTAAGTGATTCAAAGGACCCCAGAGCTGTTGGGTAGACTATGTTTATAACCTATGGTATCTATCAAAACCAAAGTTTATCTACCAGAAAGAAACACTGGCCTCACTAGGTAACATTATGAAAAGATAGATACTTTACATGAAGAAATTATAAAATTTTCAGAGAATAATTGCTAAAACCACACAAGACACTAGACACAACAAAAGACTCACATATTTTTCTACACCAATGATTAGCTTTTATGCTAAATCATAAGCTAAAAAGCCAGAAGAGCCACATTTAGAATTCCAGCACTTGGGAGGTTAAAGCCGGAGGACTGCAAACTGGAGACCAGCCCAGGTAATCTAGCTAGTTCCAGATCCAGCAGTGAAAGAAAGAAAGAAAGAAAGAAAGAAAGAAAGAAAGAAAGGAAGGAAGGAAGGAAGGAAGGAAGGAAGGAAGGAAGGAAGGAAGAAAGGCTAGGCAGTGGTGGTGTACAGCTTTAATCCCAGCACTGGGGAGGCAGAGGAAGTCATATTTCTAGGAGGTTAAGGCCAGCCTAGTCTACAGATTGAGTTCCAGGACAGCCAGGGCTACACAGAGAAACCCTGTCTCAAAAGAAAAACAAAACTCTTATCAGCAAATAAAAGTTAAAATATTTTAATACTGGAGGATATAAAGGAAGAAGATGATTAATAGATGGAAAAAAAAATCAGAAAAGGGCTGGAGTGATAGCTCAGCAGTTAAAAGCACTGGCTGTTCCTACAGAGGACCCGAGTTCAGTTCCTGCATTTACATGTGGCTTACAACAACTGTTAACTCCAATTCCAAAAGAATTGATGCCCTCTTCTAACCTCAGAGTACCCACACAAATGTGGTGAACTGGCAAATAATCATACACATTAAATAAACAAATAAATAAATAATCTAAGGTGCTAGACATACTAGTTTGGTTTGACTATTCCATGTTGCTGTGTAGATTATTACATTACTTTGTAACTCCTAAAATATAATTATAAGTAGTCAATTTACAAAACTTAAAAATAGATTCGGGCATGGTAGCACATGTCTTTAATCCCAGCACTCAGTAGGCAGAGGCGGAAAGAGATGAGTTGGAGGCCAGTCTGATCTACAGAGCCAAGTTCCAGGGTAGCCAGGGCTACTGAGAGAAACCCAGTCACGGGAAAAAATAAATAAATAAATAAATAAAATAATAAATTATTTGATACTCTAAATATTGTATCAACTAGATCTGAAGCAATTTAAATTTATAGAGAGGCAGACAGAGGCTCAGAATGTAGCTTTGTAGTCAGAGTACTTACTAGCATATACAAAATTTAATCTCCAGTACCACACACACCAGGAGTGGTGGTACATATCCACATTCCTCTCACTAGGGAGGCGAGGCAAAGGCAAAAAGAGCAGAGGTTCAAGGTCATCTTTGGCTATTTATCTAGTACAAGTTCAGCATATGCTACAAAATAAAAAAGGTGATGATACTGCAAATCTTTTTTTTTAATTTCAGAAATAAAATTGGCAATAAATATCAACACCCATAAACCATTACATATTATTAAACTAGTGGTTCTCAATATTCCTAATGCCATGACCCTTTAATACATTTCCTCGTGTTGTGGTAACCACAGCCACAAAACTATTTTCGTTGCTACTTCATAACTGCAATTTTGCTAGTGTTATGAATTTTTTTTTAAGGTTTATTTATTTGTTATGTATACAGTATTCTACCTGCATTGCCTGCAGGCCAAAAAGGGCACCAGATCCCATTACAGATGGTTGTGAGCCACCACGTGGTTGCTGGGAATTGAACTCAGGACCTCTGGAAGAGTAGGCAGTGCTCTTAACCTCTGAGCCACCTCTCCAGGCCAAAATATGATTTGGGGGGGAGGGGGGTTTCTCTGTGGCTTTTGAGGCTGTCCTGGAACTAGCTCTTGTAGACCAGGCTGGTCTCAAACTCACAGAGATCCACCTGCCTCTGATTCCTGAGTGCTAGGATTAAAGACGTGTGCCACCAATGTCCTGTTATGAATCTTAATGTAAATATTTTGGATAGAGGTTTGTCAAAGAGGTTGTGACCCACAGGTTGAGAACCACTGTACTAAAGTATAAACAAGTTTTTCCAACCCTCAAAGCTGATTACTGACTGTAAAACTGGGTAAAGGGTAAGAAGCTCAAGGAGGCCTGTCCCATTGAGGTAGTTAAGAACTTGTTTTGTTTTTTCAGCCCTGTCCTGGAACTCTGAACCAGGCTGGTCTTGAACGCAAAACTCGCCTGACTGCCCCCAAGGGCTGAGATTAAGGGTGTGCACCACCAGAGCCCAGCTTTCCTGTTTAAATCTTGTTTACCATTGTTTACCATCTATCTCAGCATCCTTCAGGTCACAGGAGGGGTCACAGACAGCTTTTAGGAGTTTTCCCAAATGGCAGGTGTGCCAACTGGATTGAAGATGGACCTGTTTATAATTTACTGTATTTAAAAATTCACACTGGGGAAAGATTTACCTTGCAGGTGGAACACCAGGCGCAGTATGTTTGCCTTTGACTTTCTCCAGACTTTCTCTTTCATTCTTTCTGGAAGCACCTCGAACACTGTCTTCTTCCTCTTCCTCTGGTTTCTTTTTATGAGACCTTGAGTTCAAAATGAACAAAAGTAAATAAATTTCAGCTTCCTAAAGCACACCCCCATTGGGGGACTAACAGCATGACTGAACCATAAGGTTCTACATCATCAGATCACACACAGCAACAGCGCCAACAGTTAACCGTGAGAAAGCCCTCAGAGGTCAGCTGAGGCATCTGGTGGTATTTAAGAATATGCGATGGCTCTATCTGCCGGCATCAAGTCAACAAAAAGAAGACAGTGGACAACCTTCCTGATAGCTACAACATCTGTTTCTTAGCAAATTCAGGAGTACGAGTAAGTATTGTACTTGCTTCAGCAGCCTCCACTGCAACTGGAGTGACAAGTGACAACCTGAACTAAGATACAATCTCTGGAGAAGGCCTGACTTTCCTTGGTGAGGAAAGTCAAGGTGAGGCCTGCTTCCTTTACATCATACACTCTTAAACATGAATGTAATGTCTAAAGGTATAGAAGTTATCTTCTGATAATGAAGCTCAAGAAAAATGAAAAAAACTAAAAAGCAGTGACAAACTAGTTTTGATTTGTCTGTAGTACAAAAAATATTTAGAGTATTCCTTGTGGTGAGACACATTCCCAGTTGGAAAATAATAGTAATAAGCATGTACACCATGTTTGCTGGTCGGTCTTTGCCACAGCAGAACACTGGGGTCAAACCTGTAAACTAAGATTTGAGCACCTTCCCAAAGGACACAGGAAACAATGTCCCTGACCACACATAGCTTAGGAGTTTCCCAATCTACAGGTACACCAACCAGACTGTAGATGGACCCATTGGCAACTTTCCTTTATAACTCAAAACCTCTCAATTCAGAAGAGAAACCTACTACACAGGACGGAAGTCTACAAGGCAACAGTAAGAAGCCTTGACTACTTACATTCTTATTCTTTTGGAAGGTGGAAAGTCACTGGAAGGAGTGGTACATCTCTTTGCTTTCATTTCAACAAGGGCATGTTTTTTTGATTTATGCTCCAAATCCTTCTTAGCAGAGAGTCTGACGGATCGTCTACAGTGGAATTGAGACAATTTATCTTATGATGATCACACTTACTACACATATACAAAAGCTCTTCAGACAATAAAAGTATGGCAAACTGCAAGGCCAATAAAACGTTTATTACCACCCATTCTCTAGTAATCTAATGCATGTGAAAATTTGTTTTTTCCAACCATAAAATTCTGGTATTCAAATTTGCTAGTGGTTTACAAATTAGACCTCAATAAAAATGACTTTTAAAAACACCAACAAGGGCTGGAGAAACTCAGAGGTCCTGAGTTCAATTCCCAGCAACCACATGGTGGCTTACAACCATCTGTAATGAGATCTGGTTCCCTATTCTGCTGTGCAGATACACATGGAAACAGAATGTTGTATACATAATAAATAAATAAAATCTTAAAAAAAAAAAAAACACCAACAAAACAGACTAAATAGGGTATTGTGATTGTAATCTCAGCACTCAGAAAAGCTAATACAGAATGGCAAGACCTTGTCTCAAAAAGATAAAACTAGAATCAGAATCCTGGGTGTGGTGGCACATGCCTTTAATCCCAGAGGCAGAGGAGGGCAAGTTTGAGGTTAGCCTCGTCTACATTCTGAGTTCCAGGACAATCACACCTACACAGAGAGAACCTGTCTCAAATTTAGAACAGAGTTAAAATAAAATACTAAATACATTTGAATCAGGGCTGTGATGGTTCAGTGGTAGACTTGCCTAGCAAGTACAAGGAGCAAAGATCTGGGTTCACTTCCCCAGGGGAGATGGGAAAGAACACAGAGAAGTTAAGATTAAATATAAAACACAGGAAAAGGAAAATAGGATAACAACACAACAAAAAAGACAGTGACCAGGAAACAAAGCAATGACAGCGCTAACCAGATTAATAATTATAGTAAGATAAATATAAGCTGGCAACATTTCAAGTAAAACAAAAATTAATGAGAATGATATTTTTTGTTTGTTTGGGTCTTTGTTTTGGGGTTATTTTTGTTTTTGAAACAGGATTTCTCTGTGTAGCCCTGACTGTCCTGGAACTCATTATGTAGATCACGTCGGCCTCAATCTCACAGAAATCTGCCTGCCTCTGCCTTCCAAGTGCTGATATTAAATGAGTGCACCACCACCTCCAAGCTGGGTTTTTAGTTATTGATTTTTAAAAGCAAGATCCCACTAAGTGCCATCTATAAAAACTTAACTTTGTGATTGGTTACTTTAAAAGCTCCACATTAAGAGGAAAGGGGTGTGGGGGGGGGGACCATCAGATGACTCAGCGAGCAGAGTCCCTTCTGTCCGAGGCTGACACCTGATGTGGGTTCTAGTCCAATCCCACACACACACACACAGAGCATGACAGGGTTTTTCTGTATTGCTTTGAGAGGTTATCATGGAACTCACTCTGTAGACCAGGCTGACCTCAAATTCACAGAGATCTGCCTGCCTCTATCTCTTGAGTGCTATGATTAAAGGCATGTACCACCACTACCCGTTTGAAGATTTGTTTTGTTTTGTTTTGTTTTTCGAGACAGGGTTTTTCTGTATTGCTTTGAGAGGTTATCATGGAACTCACTCTGTAGACCAGGCTGGCCTCGAACTCACAGAGATCTGCCTGCCTCTGCCTCCCAAGTGCTGGGAAAAAGGTGTACGCCACCAACACCTGACGGAAGATTTTTTTTAATGATTTATTTATTTTTATTTGATGTGCATTGGTGTTTTAGCTGTATTATGTCTGTGTGAGGGTATTGGATCCCCTGGAACTGGAGTTAAAACAGTTGTGAGCTGCCTGCCATGTGGGCACTGGGAATTGAACCCATATCTTCTGGAAGGGCAGCCAGTGCTCTTAACCACTGAGCCATTTCTCCAGCCCCATAATTATAAAATTTTAAATAAGGGCTGGGCATGTAACTCTGTAATAGGAAGTATACTTAATACAAATGAGACTGGTTCAAACTCTAACGCCACAAAATATTAAGCATGAATAATAAAGGGCAAAGACAGAATAAAAGTAAAAGAATAGAAGATATATACAAACCTAACCATGAGAAAGTTTCTGTAATACTAAGAAACAAAGAAAGACATTAAGGGCCGAGGAGATGGCTCAGTGGTTAAGAGCACTGACTGCTGTTGCAAAGGACACAGGTTCAATTCCCAGTACCCATACGAGAGCTCACACTATCTATAACTCCAATTCCAGAAGGTCTGGCACCCTTCTGGCCAGGCACCAGGAATGCACATGACACATAAATAAATGCAAGCAAAACACCCAGACACATAAAATAAATGAAACTTTTTAAAGAGGGAAAGAGAGAGAAAAGTAATTGACATCAGAAAAACATAACCATTTTATCTATACAAAGCTTTTAGAACGGATGAATTTGAATCCTGACTTTGAAATGAACTTGCCTTGAGCAAGCAACTAAGTATCTATAAGCACTGACCTATAAAGTAAACCCACAAGCTACAGTCCACAAGCATTGAAGGAACATAGGAATCTACCAGCAGGGACACAGACGATCTGTGGAGTTTCTATACTGTTTGAGCAGCACCAGAAAGACCCACAACGTTGTGCCCCACCCACCACTCTTACCTCTGAGCCTGGACAGGAGTTTTTCCTGATACAGCCCCCTCAGCATTCACAAAACAATCATCTGATGGAACAGAATGTTTCTGAAGATTTGCCTTTTCTGCCTCATTATAGTAAGTGTTGTCAACTATGATAGACCAAAAACCTAATTAGACCACTGCAGACGTGTCCTACAATACCCACTTATAAATAAATAGATTACAACTTTAAATGGCGAGATAGCTCAACAGTTAAAACACTGGCAGTTCTTTCAGAAGACCTGGGCTTATGTTCCTAGCACCAACGTGATGTCTCACAACTGTCTATAACTCCAGTTCCAGGGGTTCTAATGCCTATCTTCTGGCAAGATGTACTGAGATATATAAAAGCAAAACAACCACCAACATAAAGTAAAATTTAAAAATTGGAAGGTTTAAATTGAGTTTTACCCTGTAACAGGGGATAGTACCTCTCTCAGACACCATAATCTAACAAATAAATTTTTAAGTTTTTGTCAGCAGATTTCCTATAGACACTGCCCCAAAACACATTGCTCTTAGCTTCCCTCCAGAACTTGACACTAAGACCCTATTGGTGAAGATACCACACTTGAGTCATACAACATGGAGTAACTCAAGTATCAAACTGGAAGCCCCAGCTCTACTAGCTAGCTTTCATAGTGCTTGCTGAGTGTGTACACTACTGAGGAAGTAATAATAGCCTTTCTCAGACATGAACCCTGCCAGCTACAGTTAACAATTGCCCTGGAAAGACATGCCCACCAGTGCAATAATGACAGGACTGTAATGAGAGTAACCAGACACTTTCTGATTGGATATAGAGCGCACCCAGAAAACAGAATTCACACCTGACATCATTAATAGGTCCAAGGGCTTGGGAGGTCATGGGTCCTCAGAGAGGACATACTACTACTACTACTACTACTACTACTACTACTACTACTACTATTCTGCTAAGTAGACATAGTATTAAACTGCCCCTAAGTATTATCTGTACACCCATAAGTTAGTGCCTCTCCCAAAACTCAGAGAAGCTTCTTGTTTGCAGTAGATGGCAATTAACACAGAGACTCACAACTGGTCAATGTGTGGAGAAGAGTAAGACTGAAGTGTTCAGCCGGTGTTGGTGGCTCACGCCTTTAATCCCAGCACTCAGAAGGCAGAGGCAGGTGGATCTCTGTGAGTTCGAGACCAGCCTGGTCTACAAGAGCTAGTTCCAGGACAGTCTCCAAAGCCACAGAAAAACCCTGTCTCGGAAAATAAATAAATAAATAAATAAATAAATAAATAAAAAAAATTAGCGCTCAGGATAGCACTGTAACTCAGGTATAGTACTCAAGCACTCATAAGGTCCTAGACTTAATCTCCAACACTGGAGAAAAAAAATCCTCAAATGAATCCTAAAGGCATATATATAAAAAGAAAAATACAGTCAGGTATGGTGGCACCTACAACGTCAGCATGCAAGAGGTAGAGGCAAGAGGATCACAAATATGAGAGCCTGAGCTATACACAGACCTCTTCTCTGGAAAAAAGAGCAGCACATGGTTGGGGGCATATACACCATGAAATGAATTCACCCACTCACTAACAAACCACAATTACAACTCTGGTGGTTCCCTCGGAGTCCCAGCTCTAGTCCCCACCAGCATTAAGGTGCTTGTCCTTAAGCTGTTTCTCCTTACCTGCCTTCAAAGGTGTAACTCGGCTTTTCTGGAGTTTGGCTTTTCTCAAGGAAGTTTTGCCCTGAAAAAGCTCTTCTATTCCATTCTTCCCAAGCAACTTGTTCCCCAAGTTGGCCTTCTCCTCTATGAAAGAAACAGTAAGGAAGCAAAACAAAGGAGAATCATGCATTAAAATGGGGAGTAAAGTCCATTTCCAGCACCTTTAGCAAAAACACAATTCTAACAACTAAAGGAAAGAAGTGTGCACTCGGGGACAGACTGCAAAATCTATCCCCAAAGCACTTGCAACATCCAACAAGGTCTTACAGTAAAGGAAAGTTGCAGATTCTGTGCTCCTTTATCTTTATTAAGATACATAGTTAGGGCCACACCAACAATATTTGGCCTTATCTACCATTTAAATACATCACATTCTCCTTGAAGAAAACTGTAGCCACCGGGAACTATAAGATTACAAGGGACAGATTGTATTCACAGAGTGTGGGGTGTGTGAGAGTGGAGCAGAGCGAAGTTGCCTCAAGGAGTTTGTCTTGGGTTCTGCTGTGGCGGGCTGTGTCAAGCTACAGGTGCAGTGGCCCCTGAATAACTACATTGTGCATGGACACTCTGATTATAACCATGTGAAAGATGTGATGAGCTGAAAGAGAGAAAAGAAAGAAAGAAATATACCATAGCTAAGGTAGTATTCTAACTAGAGGATTATTTTTTTTCTTCCAAACTTTCTATTTAGCTGTATGGCTATGCTAATATTCCCTATCAGTAGATAGCTAGAAGGTAAAGAAAAATTTATAAAAAGAAATCGGACAGTTCCAGTGTTACTTTGGGTTGCAGTGCTATGGGGATGGGCAAAACCACTCTAGGGCAGCAGGCCAGACCATCTGCTCTTCCTTCTGACAGAGCCCTCTACTGAGAGTAACACCTAATTCCTTTCCCAGGAGAATAACAGAGACCATCTAATTTGAACTCTGCATTTTAAGTGGTAAGTACAGCTGCAATAGAGTCATTTTTGTTCCCACCACTTATTGGTGTTAATGTCTCTTAATGAGGAAGGTGGAGACAAGAAAAAGGATAAAATGAAGCCTCATCAACAATTGGACTCACATATTATCACATGACTGGCAGACCATAAATTAGGCTCTATGACCTCGAACACCCTCACTGGTCTACTCATTCACACACAGAGAGACATACACAGAAATACAAATAAAAATCTTAAAAAAAAACTTTTTTGGTCTAATTTTAGGTTTGTACCACATCATAGAACATCTGTTTGCAGGTTAGGTTACTAGTTCCATAATGTCTCCATTTAAAAATGATTTTAGAGCCGGGCAGTGGTAGCACATGACTTTAATGCCACCACTTGAGAGGCAGAGGCGGGCAGGCGGGGAGGGCGGGCGGGCAGGCAGGCAGGGAGGCAGGGAGGCAGGCAGGGAAGAAGGGAGGGAAAGAGGAAGTCGGTCAGTCTAGTTACTTTCTTGCTTTTTAATGTGTTTAATTTTGATGTGTATGGGTGTTTTGCATGCACATATGTCTATGGACCACATGCCTGCCTGGGGCCTGTGGCAACCAGAAGAAGGGATCAGATCCCTTGGGACTGGAGCCATAGTGGGTTTGGGGAAAAATAACGCCTAACTGCTGAGCCCTCTCTCCAGCCCTTCTATTCTTGAAATGTCCTCAGTGCAAAACAAGACACTAACCCTTAAAATGGCAGAGAAAGTAGCAACTTACCAAACCATGAGTCTACATTTTCAGTATCTTCTTCAGCATCCAAAGATGAAAAGTTGATGAAGTTGGTGGGGGCATCAAAAGAATAAGTAGTTGTAACTTGTGACATTGCCCCCACTTAGCTTTCCCAGGGTTGTAACCCTCTGCTCAACAGATGGACTTCTGATGAAAGAAATGGTTAGAAAAATTTGGTTGTACATCACTAATAAGTATTGATCCCTACCAACTACTTTGATTTTATATTTCCAATTTAGAAACTCATCTGGGCGGCTGGAGAGATGGCTCAAAGGTTAAGAGCACGAACTGTACTTTCAGAGAACCCAGGTTTAACTCCCAGCATCCACATGGCAGCTCACAACTGCATGTAACTCCAAGATCTAACACCCTCACACAGACATACATGCAGGCAAACACTGATGCACATGGTATAAAAATAAATAAATTATATAAAAGAAAGAAAGAAAATCACCTAGGGCTGGGCATGGCAGTACAGGCCTTTAATCCTAGCAGTTGGAAGGAGATTGCTTGTTTTTAGTGATAGAAAGAAGCCAGTTCAGTACTGTTGAAATGATTGATTGGTAAAGGTACCTGCCACCAAGCCCGATGACCGAGTTTGATCCCTAAAAGCCACATGGTGGCAAAAGAGAAAACTGACTCCTGCAAGTTGTCCTCTGACCTACACACACACACACACACACACACACACACACACACACACACACACACAGAGCATGCATGCATACCCAAACAGATGAGTACCTACAATCTGTCATTCCCTGCTGGGTGTTACATTCACTATTAATTTTCCCTCAGTCTGTCATTTTCTTGTTTCTAAGCTTCCCTCCCTGTTTTCACTCTGTGCCTGACAGCCACAGAGTGCTAGCTTAGCTTTAGCTCCTCTGGAACAATGAGCATCCCACTTTGTATCAGTTAGCTCCATAAATGTTTTTTCCTGGTAGTCTGCCGGTTCTGAAGACAAAAGCCCATCTCAGTTGTATACATCACGATGCTTAGCAGAGGGCCTTCTGCATAGAAGAGTGAGAAATAGTTTTGCTAAGTTTTGCTATTTCCTTAGAAATATCTTAAGAAAACTATTTCTGGGCTGGAGGTGTAGCTCAGTGGTAGAAAGCAAACTTAGTATGCATGAGGAGATGAGTTTGATCTCTAAAAGTGGGGAAAAATAAAACAAAACAAAACAAAACTTTCTAGGCATGAAGAAAATTACTTAATATACATCAAAGTCACAACATGCATAATAAGTAGAAGGACAAGTCAACAACACAGACCTACCCCCCTATGCCAACAAAACTCTGAATTCCACTGTGTACAAACCTAGCAGGCTTAACCCTCCCCCTCTAGTTCTATCTAGGCAACAAAAAAAGCTGAAAGTAGTCTGAAAAATAACCTAAAGGCCATACTCAATGACCAATAATTAATTACCTAGGAATCTCAGTGAGCTGTTTGTCCTAAAAGCATTCTGAGATAGGCCATCAGGGCACAGCACCTGTGAATCCCAGCACTCAGAAGGTAGAGGCAGGAAAACTTTAGACAACCTCGAGTCCAGCCTGGTCTACACAGCAAATTCTAGGCCAGCAAGAGGTACATAGCAAGACCCTATCTCAAAAAGAAGAAAACAAGGGGCTGGAGAGATGGCTCAGAGGTTAAGAGTACTGGCTACACCTGCAGAAGTCCTGAGTTCAATTCCCAGCAACCACATGGTGGCTCACAACCATCTGTAATGAGATCTGGTGCCCTTTTCGGTGTTCAGGCATACATGCAGACAAAACACTGTCTACATAATAAATACATAAATAAATAACTCTTTAAAAAAACAAAAAGGGATTCTGTATCTTGGAGGGAAGTAAATACCAATGATATTTACATAAAAGTTAGCACCTCTCTTGTTGGGATGGCTCAGTGTAAAGGCATGTGTTACACCTGGCAACCTGTGCCTTCCATTCCTGGTACCACATGAAAGGAGAGATCTGACCCTGCAAACTGCCCTCTAACCTTCATGTGTATGGCATGGTACACACACACAAATAAATTTTTTTTAAAAACTTTAAGTTGGGTGTGATAAAGCATGCTTTTAATCACCACAGAAGACAGTGGCCGTGAGGTGGTGGTGCACGCCTTTAGTCCCAGCCCTCGGGAGGCAGAGGCAGGCAGATTTCTGTGATTCAAGACTAGCCTCATCTACAAGAGCTAGTTCCAGGACAGCCTCCAAAGCCACAGAGAAACCCTGTCTCGAAAAAACCAAAAACAAACAAAAAAAGACAGAAACAATAATCTCTGTGAGTCCAGGCTTGTCTACTTACTGAGTTCCCAGTCATGCCAGAGCTATAGAGGGAGACCTGGTCTCAGGAAACAAAACAAACAAACAAAAACAACAACAAAAAGCCTTTCTTTAAGTGTCAGCAGTGTTGGGAGGGTCAGTTCTCCATTTGCCTATGAGCTAGCACTTGTTTCCACAGTCTTGACTTGCAGAAGGCTCTCTATCATGCCATTCTAAATGCTCCACTCTCCTATATTGCCACTTCCACTGTTTGTTTTATCTTGGGTTTTTGTGGGGTTGTTTTTTTTTTTTTTTTTTTTTTTTTTTTTTTTTTTTTTTTTCTTTCTTTTTGAGAGGGTCTCACTATGTAGCTGGCTTGCCTGGAAAACAACTTATTAGTTAGCCTCTGCCTCCAGAGTGTTGGGATTAAAGGTGTTACAACACGACATCCAGCTTTTCTGTTGTTGCTGCTAGTGGGGGTAAAGACAGGGACTTATATAGCACACACTGGCCTAGAACTTGCTATGTACATAAACACACACACACACACACACACACAGATACAAATACATACCATAAAAATAAATGCATAAATAAAGAAAAGCAAAATTAAAAAAAAAAAAAAAAAAAAGACTATCAGTGACGGATTTCTCTGGCAATTTCTCTGGTTGAAAGGAGGACATTTTCCTGCTCTTTTGAACAACTATGCTGGACGACATGGGAAAATCTTACATTCCCATGATCTCAATGGCTAATTGAGGTCACTGGGAACATTTCCCAGGCTTGTCTAATGAAGACAAGCAGAGCTGGGGAAGGAAGAGACAGGAATGTAACAGTCCACAATCACACTTGACCCTCAAAAACTGATCCAGCAGCTCTCTCTCAGGAAGCCCACAATCACTCTAGGATAGGAAGCATTTTGTTCTTTACTTAAGCCTCTTTCCTCTTCTTTTTCTTTTATTTATTTATTTTGGAGTCCTTATTTATTTTTATTTTATGTACATGGGTGTTTTATCTGTTCAAATGTCTGAGTACCACCTGTACGCAGTGTGTGCAGAGGCCAAAAGATGTAAGATTCACCTGGAACTTAGCTACCTTGTGAATACAGAAATCAAACCCAGGGCCTCTGGAAAAGCAGCTGTGTTCTTAACTGTTGAGCCAACTGTTCAAGCCCCTTTCCTACTTTTTGCTTTTTTAATTATTTTTGGTTTTTTTGAGATAGGGTTTCTCTGTTTAACAGCCCTAGCTGTTCTGGAACTAGCTCTGTAGACCACACTAGCCTGGAACTCACAGAAATTGCCCTGCCTCTGCCTCTGCCTCTGCCTCTGCCTCCTGAATGCTGGGCTTAAAGGTGTGCACCACCACTGCAGCAGCCTTTTATACTATCTTTTTGTCTAGATCGGCGGACTCAGGAGGCCACCCTGCCATTTCATAATCCCAACACTTGAGAACCTGAAGCAAGAGGACTGCCTCAAGTTTAAGCTCATCCTGGGCCTACATATTGAGGTTCAGATCAGCCTGGGCTACAAAGTGAGACTGTCTTAGAAAAGAAAAACAAAAGAACAATAAATACAAACGCTCTGCCTCAATGGGCAGTGGTAACCAGCGCCTTTAATCCCAGCACTTTTGAGGCAGAGGCAGAGGCAGGCAGAGTGAGTTCAAAGCCAGCCTGGTCTACTAAGGGAGTTACAGGACAGCAAAGACTACACAGAGAAACCCTGTCTCACAACAAAACACCCTGCCTCTCCTCAAAACGGGATCAAATTAACAACTATGTATCCATTATGCCTTGAGAACTCTCATCCTCTTCATTAAAGGCTGACAAAGTATACCAAGAAAACCTGAAGTAGGGCTGGGGAGGAAGGTCAGTGAGAAAGTGAACAAAAGAGGAGAAGGGACCAGAACACATGCAGAGTAACTGCTCAATCAAAATAGTTTCACAACCCTGCCTCATCACAAACAATAAATAGTAGGATGTCAAAATATCAAAATTAAAGTGTTGGAGCCCAGTAGGATATCCCAGAGGTCAAAGCAAAAGGCAGCTGTTTAAATGAGAGCCCCATGAATGGTGGGAACTGGATCCTCCCTGTACCCCTTAATCAAGATTAAATTTCTGTCAACAGGTCTCACTGAAGGGGGGGGGGCAATATGTCAACCACATTCCCTTAAACGAATCTAGCTGCCAAGCAAGAGAATTAGCTTCATATTTCAAAATTATCTGAAACTGCCACAGAGCAGGCTCCTGGAAAATTACAAATATTCTCAGTAGAAAAATGGCCTTTAGCTGGGTTTGATGGCACTTAAATCCAGCACTGGGAAGCAGAGGCAGGTGGATGAGTTCAAGGCCTGCCTGATTTACAGAGCAAATTCCAGATCAGCAAGGGCTACATAGTGAGTCCCTGCCTATAAATAAATAAATAATAAATGAAAATTAAAATAAAAACTAAATATGTAGTTTTCTTTTAAATAGGGTTTCTTTGTGTGGCCTTGACTGTCCTGGAACTAACTTTAAAAAACAGTTTTTAATGAAAAACAATCCTATAGGAAATCATAGAGGAAAATAATGTCTAGGGCTAGAGAGATGGCTCAGCTGTTAAGAGCACTGTCTGCTCTTCCAGAAGGCAGGGGTTTGGTTTCCAGCACCCACATGGTAGCTTACAACCACCTGTAACTCTAGTTCCTGGGGATCTGACACCCTCTCCAGGCCTCTATGGACACCTGGCAAGCACATGGTATACACATCCATACATGCAGGCAAAAAATACCCACACAAAATAAAATAAAGTAGAAATATTCTTTAAATAAAGAAAGCCTACTCAATATGATATGAATCAATATGCTATGTTTATGAACTAGTTCTTCATAAAATTGCCTGTTAAATATCACT